TCGGGACTGATTGTTGAGATGCTCTTGATCCAGTAGGCAAGTGAATTCCAAGAGACGGCAATGAAAGTGATTTCCGTCGGGTATTGTACGGCATTTGTTTTGAAAAGGAAGCGTGGAGAAAAATCGCGGGGTGCAGTGGTGGTTGGTAACGCGCGGACGCTGTTAACTTGAGCGTTCGCGGAGAAGTTTATTGCCACCGGTGAGATCGATGATGGAGAATATGACCACTAAAGAGTACGATATACTCCGACTTCGACGTTGTGGTGGTGAGATGAAGTTCTCTTGGTGGGGTGGCAGCAAGAGAAGAGAAGACTTGGGGCAGCGGCACTTGGGAAAAAAAAGTTCGAGTCGGATAAATGAGTGTTCGGCGGGTTGCACAGAGCGACGAGACGACGTGGGACGTAGTGCGTGCAGGAGCACTAGACAAGTATGGGTCCTTCTCGTTGTATACTAACGCCGTTGTTGGTGGAAGTTGATGCGGCAGATAGTGATGTCCTCAGTAGCAACGGAACGTGCGATAGCTCCTTGGAATAAAGAGACCAAGAGGATGATGTTGATGAGGTGGCCGTCTCGTGCAGTTGAAGGGAGTTTGATGATGGGACGGCGCTGACCACAAGGGCGAAGGAAGGCAATAGTGGACAACTGCAGGCGCAAAAGTGCCACTGCTGACAAGCGATGTGACGGAATGCCGTGGAGATAGACGAGTAAAAAGTCTTGCGGTCTTGTTTAAGACGGATAACGGATTTCCAGATGAATAAACTCGTGGGGTGATAAGAAAGCGTCTTGGAGAACTCGAGAGAGCAAGGAAGTCCAAGGTGAATAAAACGGGAAAACGAGGCGGGAAAGAACGGGAGGACAGGTTATGTTTCGGTGAGAGGGGTGAGGATCTCAGGGTGATTGATAACTATGCACCTCGATAGAGTGGTAATCGTGGGGGAGGGGCGTCCGATGATGACTGCACGATGGCACTGCCGTTGCCGTTTGTTTGCCTGTCGCATCCAACTTTTTTTTCTTCCGCGCCCCCATAGATCCTCAGGCCCCACCGTCGACGAAGGCAAACCCAGTTCAAGTGTCTAGCGCCAGCCGATCCAGTACAATACTGGGACATGTTCTGTTTGGCAGGTGGGAGGGAGAGCAGGTGAAGAGGCCGCTACATAGCAGATGTTGTTGGACCATAGGCGGAACACGCGGCTTCCACGCCGGTGGTCAGGCAGGTTGTTGGCGGAGCGTTGCGCTGCCGTGGGGGAGAAGGCACCATCGGACCCATCAGGACCCTGTGAAAGCAACGCCAGCGGCGAAATTCTCCAGCGTACTGGATGTTTCCTGTTCCGGGGATACGATGCGTTAGCAACACTCTGATTGGTCACATCCAACTCCCACCCACTTGCACCCCTGGTCCTTTCCTTCTTCACCTTATGAATCCCCCGGCTGTTTCCACATCCCCATCTCTCTTCCGCAAAACTTCTTCTGTCAGCAGCGCGCTAGACCTTCGAGAAGCCCCGTAGTGGCGGAAATCGGAGATATCTTCCCTGCCTGAAGACTGCATTCTCCACTTGTGCGCTTCAAGAAGGAGCCACTTACGAAGATGCAAATTCCCATATGCCCAGGAGGCCCTCCAATTTGCTAACAGAGGCTGGGTGAGAAGTGATGGAACTCATTCATGTAAACATGGAAGGATGGCGTGAGATGCCGTTGCCATCCCAACCGTCCGTGATTGATGATCGATCATCCTGATACCGGTACCAGCATCTTTTCTTGCGCTGAGGTCTCCATCAGACACGCATTGTTGCATGTTGCGTATCGTGCGTTTCCTTGGGGGCTGATTCGATGCCTCTGGCATATCTAATAGGCAGCGAGTGCGTCATAATCGTCACAGCAATGATACTCCAAGGACGACAGGAGCGACATCTGCATGAATCATCATGATCATTATTTCATGCATGTGCCCCTCCACTACTCCAAGAAACAGCACTTACGGTCAAAATGTATGTTACCTCAAGCTGTAACAATATATCCATCGTGGGGCTGTACTGTCACGTTCATGAGCGGTTTTGCTGGGCGGTTGTGTATTACTCCAGGCAGCCACCTGTCCTGAGTCAACTTTTTTTGTGCTTCAGCTTCGGCTCTGGCAGTTTACCTGATGTCGCTTTGAGGTTCGCTTCGTTCGACCAGGTGGGGACCAGATGTGCTCTGCAGGTGATAGGATATTCTCGTGAATGATTGGACGTTCTCGTAAATGTCGAGCTGATTCAATCATAGTCATGATGAGAACGACGGGAGTTGCTTTCGACGTAGCGGGAATTGGTGGGTTCAATCCAGGACTCGTTGGAGGCAGCCGGGATAGAGTGAAGAGGTGAAGACAGGTTGTTTTAAGATGCGGTAACCGGTTTCAACAATTCAAAAGGGTCAGAGGAGTTGTCCAACAAGATGATGAGTGAGGATAAAGAGGCGTGTGTGATCGCAGGTGAAGGAAGTGGAAGAGTTGCAGAGTGTGTGGTGACTGCCATGGTCGATGCAGGGACGCAAAACTTTCAATTGGCTCTTGCTGTCAAACAGCCTGAATGTGCATTGGCATGTTTGAATAACCCGAATACTTTACAGACATTTCGTTTTTCTTCATTGTTTAGCTCTTCTAGCTCTGTTTGTTCAAGCTCCATACAGCAGTGATCAATCATTCAATCACTCGACACTCCAAACCCGATGGCATTCACTGACATTCATTCTGCTATCTAGCCCAGATATCTATTCATCATTCTGTAGTAAGAGCCTATTCCGTGCCAACTGTTCCCATCCTGACCAAAACTTAAGAAACATCAAACCTTCTCTTAGCCAGCGACCGCAACATTTCCATGGTCCGCTCCTCTTTCTCCCTATGCTCCCTCAACCTTTCCTCCCTCTCAGCAATCCGTGCCTGTAGAATCTGCTCCCTTCGTAACTCTCTGTCATTCTTCTTCCTCTGCAATGCAGCTTTCCGTGCTTTGAATTCATCATTACCATCGCCCATCAACGTACCCTCATCAACTTCATCGCCGACGCCAGGAGATTTCTCGCGGAAAGCACGAAGCTTGTCGTTGAGTTCTCGTTTCTTTTCAAGCTTGCGTTCGTGTGTTCCGGGTTCAGCGCGGGGGATGAGCTCGTCTAAAGCTTCTTTTTGAGCCTTCTTATCCATACGACGTTCGTAGCGGATGTCTGCGACGCGGTTATGGCGTTCCTCTTCTTCATAAGCTGCTCGAAGACAGGATATTAGTTCTTCAAGTTCTTACACAGAGATTCTGTCATGGCCACGGAAGGGAAACCGACCGCGTTGTAACTCTAAATCATCAAAGCCAGGGCGATCTGGGCCAGGTCTTTGTGGCTTCCTCTCCTGCCCTGGTATTGGTGGGCCAACCTCATCGTCACTTTCACTCTCTTCCTCCTCCGCTGGAATTATACCGCCTTCTCGTTGTGTACCCCCACCTGCTGGCGTTGAAGTTGAAGTTGGTTTACCTAGTTCCTTGACAACGCGTTCATACCAGCCCCGAGCTAACTCCCCACGATTACTGACCATTAGACTCTAATATCTTCATGTCGCATTCAAAACTCGACAATCAGGGAGGTTCATACTAATGTTTGACAAAACTCTTAAACCGCCCCTTCTGCTCTACGGGGTCCAGCGCATCGAGCTCTAGGCATTTCTGAACATCGAGATAAGATGCGAAGATGGGCGTGATGAGATCAAAGTCGTGTCTGCTAAGCGGGCGAGCAGAGAAGGGGAGGGAGACTGGAGGTGGAGTTGGAGAGCGCTTGTGGCTTCGTCGGGAGCGATGGTCGTGGTGGTCGCGGTGTGAGCGAGACCGGGAGCGGCGTCGATGGGAGTCAGAGTGGGGACGATCGCGATTGGAGCGGCGAGGAGAGCGAGACCTGGAGTATGTACGGCGGGAGTTCGCCATAGTGGGGGTTGCTGATGATTTGGGGAGCGTTGATGGATGCTCATAGAGCTGTGATGGCGATGGTGTTGATGCACGTGGTGATCAAGGTTGCACTGCCATACTCATTATATATCACTCGCGATTTGAATATTCAACTCCGGCCAGGTTCGAAAATCTACGATCACCGTCTTGCCCTTTTGTCCGCCTGTGCTTAAAGATTGTAATTCACTTTAGAACAGGTCAAAACACAACTTGTGCCTCCTCGGAGATGGCCAGAGTACGCTCTGTGGTGACTCAGAACTTATAAGGCGCTAAGATCCACAAACCTGCACTTGTGACCCCTCTTCCCTTCTGACCACTTTGAGCCCACTTCACCTCGTGCAACCCCACTCGACACCACAATCATGGTTCTAACGATCTGTGTCAACTGATAGCCCATCCTCCGAGCGACTCTCCTGTTTTCTCACCATTTCGCCGACTATATCTCCTCACACGCACCAAGGACGATGAGTCAACAGTGCGAAGAAAGTCCTCTAGCGGTCGCTCAGAATTTGCTGATTTCCTGATATCTTTGCTGTCTGATTTTGGCGGATAGCGTTGGCGAGAATTCTGTACTGTTTCTTGCTACAAGTATGTAGATTTTGTCGCTGCTTTTACGCGGATACTTGTGCGTGGTACTATGAACATCCTTTTATTTTATTTAATATAAGCTTACAAACTTTTTGTAGTTGACATTTATCTTTACCAGTCGTTTACACGACTATCGCCGCAATGATCGATGTGTCAAACTCCAGTCATAAACGGAAATTCAGTGATAGAATCAGCTGAAGCGATGACTTCTCGTCCTGCTCATTATTGTTGTCCTGCTTTTTCGTTCATCGCTTAAGCTCCTGCGTGGACGATACCAGATGCAACGACACTCATCAACGGCCCTGGCGCTTTCGAGACAACCTAACATCAAACCTCGATATCGATATTTGGAATGATGCAGAATATGGCAGGCAGATTTACTCCGGCGGCTACGGTGCAGGCCGGTTCAAACATCCCCATCGGACCCAAAAGGACACCAATTGCGACGAGAACAAAAAGTAGTAGTTCCGGTGGGACTCGAAATCCACATCTCCGGCTACAATTCATACAGATCCATTAGGAACGCGTCTTTAAGGATAATGGTTAAGCGATATGCTAAACTATTCCGGGCTCTACCAGCTGAGCTACAGAACCGTTGGATACTTGGACACACTGGAACTCGATAATAATTGACCTGCTCCCGGCCTCCGCACCGCAAAATTTCATCCGATTCTTCGATTTTCGAGCGCCCTCTACGCCTCCACTTTCGAGCATCCCTTTTCTCGCGTTGATCCTTCACTTTATTTTTTTTCACCACCGCGACCGCGCTTCAGCGCGTATCCTCACGCCCAGCTGGTCCAGGTTCCAGCACACCTTCGTTGCCTACACATCACAGAAGCTCCGGAGAAGGGTCGGATGACGAAGTCCTGTGGGTACTAAAGCCTCGCTTTACACGATAACTTGCATCTCATCTGCTTCCCCGCGACAGCGTCACGGTTTCATTCAGGGAAGTCTTGTTGGGGTCTTTCGATAGTGAAGGTGTCGACATCACCGTATGGTACAAGGAGGGCAGCGATCTCGGGCCAGACAACGGAGACAGCGGAGGTCACAACGACGAAGGCGACTATCATGGAGGAAGCGGTTAAGGCGACATCAAAACCAGCGGGGAAGGCCACGGAGTTGGTACAATCAGCAAAAATGATTGTTCTGGGGGCTCGAACCCCGACCGTTTTTCGGTTGTGAAAGGTCCTGCTGGGTACCTGTTCTTGACCAGTTATCCCTCAACCGCTGTATCCGACCCGGCGCCCAGTGTACTATTCTCCACCGCAACATTTCGCAGAGTCTCTTAACGCCATACTGTTGAGCTCCTTTTTACAGAAGTTGTGTGGTGGGTTGAGGTGTGGGTGGCTCTAGAAGTTTCTTAGTCGATGGGCATCCTTCAGCAACAGAGCCCAACATCAGCGTCGACAGCATGGCAACGAGCAGCAAAAAGGATGGTTCCGGTGAGATTCGAACACCGCATCTCCGGTCTTCTCTTTCAGGCACCACGCTAAGAATGTTTTTTTTTTAACTTCAACAACCCTCGGGCTCTAACCAATTGGGCTACAGGACGGTGTGGATTTCGGCATTCCGGAAATTGGTTTTAACTAGCCAGTGCCACTGGCCACAGCATGACACTTTTCGCATAAGCAAATTAGAAGGGCCAAAAGAAGCACATGGCAAAAGTTCCTTCAAGAAGCCACTGACGAGCAAGTATGGATGGCAATGAGGCTCACCAAGCCTACAATCCCATCTACTACATCGACCCTACACGACCCGACAGGCAACAAGGCAGTGACGCTGGAGGAGAAGGAGACGATGCTACGGAAATCAGCTTTTCCCCCCCCCGCCGGCGGTCAGCCTTTCCAACCCCTCACCCACCACCAGACCCGAAAGCGGCAGTTCAGCCCATCTATCCATCAACGAAGCTATGGTACGGAAAGCCTTATTTGCCCAGAATGCGGGTAAAGCGCCCGGACCCGACCACATCACATTCGCGACACTGAGGCTAGTCTGGGAATGGGATCCGAAAAGAGTTACGGCGCTCATCCGAGCGTGCTTCGAAGTGGGCTACCACCCAGTCGCCTGGAAAAAGGCAAGAGGAATCGTCCTGCGCAAGCCTGGCAAAGCAGACTACACGGCGGTGAAATCATATAGAGTGATTTCTCTCCTCAATTGCCTCGGAAAGGTGGTCGAGAAGATTGCAGCCCAACTCATCTCCGCACACTGCGAAGCATTGGGCTCCAGGGGCTTGCACATCAGACAAATGGGGAGCCGCCAACGCAGATCAGCGATCGACGCAGTGGCCATAGCCATGGATAGAATCCAGCAGGCCTGGGCAGCAAAGGAATCGGCAGCAATGCTATTAATGGATGTGAAAGGTGCCTTTGACCATGTATCTCGAGTGTGCCTACTCGCTAGCATGGAAAAGAAGTGTATCGATGCCGGCCTGATCCGATGGACATCTAGCTTTCTGGAAGGTAGAAGTGTCAGCATGGTCATAGACGGCCATGAGCTAGGAAGCCACTCTGTATTGTCGGGGGTTCCCAAGGGTTCCCAGTCTCCCCCATACTCTTTGCCATATACCTGAGCGGGGTATTCCAGGAGGTCGAGACCAAGTGCAGTGTAATTGGAATTTCGTACGCTGACGACGTCGGCTGGCTGGCGACGGGAGAAGACGTTGACAAAATCACCCGAAACCTGGAATCAGCAGCGAAGGCAGCTGGAGAGTGGGCAGCCCGGAACGCCGTCGAATTCGACTTGGGAAAAACCGAGGCAATCCTGTTCTCAAGGCAAAACAATACCAAGCACAGAGACAATGTCACAAAACTCAGCATTCGAATAAATAACTCTAGGATCCAGTACAACAACAAGGCGACTAGATGGCTAGGGGCTTGGCTTGACAGCCATCTTAAACTCCGGGAACACCACAATATAGGCCTGAAAAAAGCTCGGACAGTGATGTACCAAGCTCAGAGGCTGGCGTCGGCCCAAGGACTCTCTCCATCGCATGTCAGGAAAATCCTGGTCGCCACGACACAGACAATTGCGTTGTACGGTGCAGAACTCTGGTGGACGGGGCGAGCAGATGGGAGAGTCCTCCAAATCCAGAAACTCATCAACGAGCAAGCTCGCGCCATTACAGGAATGCTACGGACTACACCCATAGGACCACTGGTCAGAGAAGCCGG